GTTACTTTTTTATCCTTTTTTTTTTTGTTAAATCACATGTTTGCTTAATTATATAATAATTAAAAATTATTTTCTTATCTGTTTTCTTTTTTTACATTAAAAAGAAACATTTCTTTTATTCCTAAAGTTTTCTAATTGTTAATTGATCGATCGATTTAATTTTAATTAATTAATTAACTAATTAATTAATTAATTGATAAATACAATTATTAACCCATTGACCACTTAATTAAATAATTACTAATACATATTAAAAATATAATTTTTTCTTTCTTATTTCTTAAATCTTATTTTCAATTTTGTAATTAAAATACTTTAATAAATCAATTTGTTTATATATATATATATATATAAAAATAAAATCAACTTACAAATAAATCATATTTTTTTTATAATATTATTAATTTAATAAAATAGTTCATTTAATATTATTTAAAACATAATTTACAAATGGGCCCATATTTATAATATACCACAAAAATTAACCTTCAAATCATAGTTTACATGAAATCATTGTAATTAAAATACTTTAATTGCAAGAAAAAAAAAGTCAACTTATAAATAAAACATAGTCTTATAATATTATTAATTTAATAAAATATTATTCATTTATATTATTTTAAAAAACATAAATTCCAAATAATTTACAAATGGGGCCCGATATTTATTCATAATATATGCCTAAAAAGTCAATTTATATAGATCATAGTTTATATTTAATTTTCTAATTAAAATACTTTAATAAATCAATTTGTTTTTATATATAAAAAAATAAAATCAACTTATAAATAAATCATAGTTTTTTATAATATTATTAATTTAATAAAATCATTCATTTATATCATTTAAAACATAATTTACAAAAGGCCCATATTCATAATATATGCCATTCACATTCACATACACATATATATATATATATATATATATATATATATATATATATTTTATTAATTAATTAATGCATGTAGATAATTATACAATAGTCAAAGGGTTAATAAAATCTAAAGGATTAGATAAATAGAAAGAGAGAAAGAGAAAGAGAAAGAGAGAGAGAGAGAGAGAGATTAAAGAATAAAATTTAACGAACATATTTTTTCATCTAATATAGATAACGATAACAATAATTATAAATAACGATAATAATAATAATAATAATAATAATAATAGTATTAATAATATAATAATAATAATAATATATGCATACGTATGTATATGTATATGTATATCTATATATATGTACATATATATATATAGACATATGTGTATATGTTAATTAGAATTCATGTGTTAGTTTTAAATGGCAATGATAGCGATATTATATTAGTTTAATGATAATTAGCAATAATTATTAGTGTAGTAATATTTTGTTTGTTTCTTTATGTTCATCAAAGCAATGTGTTGTATTGTTTTATCATTATTGTTGTTGTTGTTGTTGTTTGTTGTTTATTTGTTTATGTGTTGTTGTTAAAGGGTGCCTACCAAACACCATACATACAATATATATGTATATGGTAGATATAAAATTTAAAAAAAAAAAACAAATTTAAAAACTAAAGATCCACACAAAAAATTGAATATACTTAATAATAAAATAATAATAATAATAATAATAATAAAATAATAATAGTTCTAATAATAATAATAATAATAATAATAATAATAATAATAATGCTGTTAGTTTTAAAATTGCCGACCAATATAATTGTCATATTATAATAATAATAATAATAATAATAATAATAATAATAATAATAATAATAATAATAATAATATCCCTTCCGTTTAATATCTTTTTTAAAAGACTTCTTCTCATAAAAAACGCGGGGGCGGGGTGGGGGTTGATGGGGTGAGGGGCAACTTCGGTATACGTGAAAAATATTAAACCCAATCAATGGTTTTTAGATAATATTAATTACTATCTATATCACAGATCCAAGTGACTAAAAACTCCTTGAAAAATATAATATTAATATGTATATATACCTTAGATGTGGGGGGGAGTGTTTGTTTGTTTGTTTGCTTGTTTTACTTGTTTCGTTTGTTTTGTTTGTTTGTTTGTTCATTCATTGTTTTATGTTTAAATGGTCATACGTTTAATATATGTTTTTATACATATATATATACACATAATACATATATCATACGTATTATGTGTATATATAGATACATATATTGCACAGTGAGACCTAATGATACAAACACACACACAGATATATCTATATGTATATGATGTGTGATTGTGTATCAATTTTATGTATGCATGGATGTATATATGTATGTATGAATAAATGTACGTATGTAATGTCTAATACGTATCTATGCATGTATGTATGTATGTATATATGTATATATGTATATATGTATTATACACGTTTCTTTTTCTCACAGATGTGATATCGAGGAAAATAATAATAATAATAATAGGCATAAAGAAAGCTATTGTTTAAACAGGATGATTAAAATCATTTTCTTTTTTTTTTTTTTTAGTTTTCCCATTCTCTTCGTTTTTATCTCTTCGTTTTCATCTTCTTCTTCTTATCTTATCTTATCTTTTCTTTTCTTTCTTTCTTTCTTTCTTCTTCTTCTTTCTTCTTATTCTTCATTATCTTCTTTGTTTATTTATTAGTTTGTTTGTTTTAATTTGTTATATAGTAGTTGGTTTGTTTATATATATATATCCAATATTCGATATCCCACAATATAAGATGATTCTTATTTTCACTAGCATCAATTAAAACGGTTATGAAATAATCGTGAATAACATTTGTATAAGATAAAATTGTGAATGATCTTTAAGATTAATAGATTTGATATAAATATAAATAATTAGAAAATGACGAGCATTTTTGTGTGTGTATATATATATATATGTATGTATGTATGTATGTATAGTCCTTCAACTTATTATAATAGTATGTCGTTTGATTCTTTTGGTTGTTGGGATTTGTTCTTTTCCAATGAATTTGATGTGCCCATAAAATTATGAAATTGATTTATAAATCATTTATCTTTTGTTTTGAGATATTGACAGAATTATATTGCAATATTATTAAATGATTTGAAATTTAAATTAAATATTTAATTAAATATTTAATTAAATATTAAAATTATATTATATAATATTGAAATATACCAAACATTATCTATAACAATTGCAAATCATTTTCTTTGAAAAATCCGCCATTACTAAGTTGTTAACCTGATACATTATATTTTATATTGTAATTATATTAATTTAATATAATTATTAAATAATTATTATTGATTAATAATAATTAATTAATTAATTAATTAATTAATTAATTAATTAATATAATTATTTATTATTTAATTAAGAATTATAATTTAATTTAAAATAATTGATAAACCAATTTTTGGTTTTCATTTTGACTTATTGATTAAATCACTTTTTAACGGTTGATTTTTGACAATTCCATTTAATTAAATTTACATGAAAATAATTTCATGTGAAATAATTGATAAATCAATTTTTTGTTTTTTTTTTTTTCTTCAATTTTGATTTAAGCCACTTTCATAATAATGGACACATAAATGAAGTTAGTCCATTTAATGGACTGTCTAAGTAAGGAAGAGTCGAGTTTAAAAGGTACGATCGATCAATTTACAATTGACTCTCTCTTTCTCATTCACTCTCTCTCTCTCTCTCTTCACTCTTTGACTATTTTTCTATCTTTCTTTCTCACTCTTCTCTTCCTTATGCCATGGGTCACGGCTAGGGAGGGTTGGTGGTTGATTGTTGGTTGCTTGTAGTGGGTGGTAGTGGTGGTGGTGGTGTATGGATAAATGGAAGATGCAAGTGGGTGGTTATCATTAGAGGTCAAGGTCATAAGGAAACTTTAAGAAAAATCCTTTTCGTATAGACGCGACGAAAAAGGTTTTTTTTTTATTATTATTATTATTTGTTATTTGTTGTTGTTTGTAGTATTTACTTGTTAGAAAGTAAAAAGCATCCATTATCGCGATCCAGAAAAGGGGGATGCTTTTTTTCGTAGGCACTTTGTCGTGTTAATAGAATAGGAGGGAAGAGTGGAGGGATGGGGGGTCACACCTTGATTGGATGTTTTAGCGAACCACCATTTGTTTAATTTATGAATCTACTACGTGTATCAATTACGATATTATTTATGCTCGTCGAAGGACTTTACCATTGAAAAATTGTTTTACTTTTTTTTCACGATTAATATAATCCGTGGATGCTAGCGTTTAATGATAATAATAATAGTAATAATAATAATAATAATAATAGTAATAGTAATAGTAATAGTAATAATAATAGTAATAATAGTAATAATAATTATAATAATAATAATGATAATAATAATAATAATAATAATAATAATAATAATAATCATTTCGCGTGTGTGTTTATTTATATAGAGAATTCAGTCGTTGTTGCGATGACTGTATTCGTGATAAGAGGAAATTGTGGGACTCGAATTGGAGTACTGGGCGTATAGATATAGCGCAGGGTGAAGCCCTGGCGGAGGAATACCACGATGATGATGATGATGATGATGATGCGATTGATGATGATGATGATGATGATGATGCGCTCGATGATGAGACTCCGACGAATCAATAGGGTTCGACAAGTGAGGATATAGTTGGGAATCAGGGCTACCCATAGGAGAAGCCGAGGAGGAACCCGTTGTTGTTTGGTAGACACTCTGCGTTGATGATAATTGTGTTGGTTGTGGTAGTAGTGGTAGAGGTTGTGATGGTGGTGGTGGTGATGGTGTGGTAGTAGTGGTGGTGGTGGTGACGGCGTGGTGCTCGCGTGAATGATGTGTGAACGGCGTTGTAGCCGAGGTGGGTGGACATACTACTTGCTGCGACGACGACGACGACGACGGTGATCGTTGCTGCGACAGGGATTGCGGCAGGGATCGTGACGCGCTGCCGTCTAAACACTAGTTGGTTGTCTGCGGATGCAGTAACGGTAGAGGAAGTTGTAGACTGTTTTGCTTGGCTAAGCTAGCAATCTCAGCTGCTATACCACCACCTTTCCCACCGGGTAGACCGTCCAACGACGATGGTCCCTCGTTGTAACGTAAATCGCATACCGGACTTTCAAAGCCGGTACCTGATGCTCCTCCTGCTGTACTCTGTGGCGTCGACGGATTGTGATTTGAGCCGCTTTGACCCATGTCGCGATGAACCCGATTGTGATGCCTTATCAAGTAGCTGTCCCGTACAAAGGTACGCCCGCAAATATTACAATCGTATGTGGCGCCCGCCGTATGCGTACGAATGTGTATGGCGAATTGACTCTTGGACGTAAACGTCAAGGAACACCTGTCACAGACCAAAGGTTTCTCCGCGACGTGGCTCCAACGATGTGCCGTTACGTAGCTCTTTACCGCGAAACGTTTTTGACAGATGTCGCAGGCGTACGGCCGTTCGCCCGTATGCACGCGCTTGTGAGTATTCAAACTGCTCTTTTGCGTGAACCTTTTCAAACATAGCTCGCATTGAAACGGCCGTTCGCCTGTATGAGTTCTCATATGTACCTCCAAATAAGGCTTACGGCAGAAGCTTGCTTCGCACACAGTACAGTGGTAAGGCTTGTTACCCGAATGAAGTTTCATGTGTACGTAATAGGAGGACGCCGATGATAAAACCTTGCCGCAGACTTTACAAGGCTGTGGCTTAGATCTGGAGCCTTCCTTGCTGGTTTGTTGACCGGTAGACTGACGACCAGGACTGTCTTGTGGCATGTTTTGACTCTGTTGATTCTGCTGCGACTGTTGATTCTGCTGTTGATTCTGCTGTTGATTCTGTTGTTGATTTTGTTGCTGTTGGCTCAGCTGCAACGATGACTGTTGTTGAGATTGCAAATGTCCTTCTTGTTGTGAAAGGTCTTCCCTGTCGTCTGACAAATTAACCATAGAATTAGACCCGTCTGATCGACTAGAAGCAACAGAATAAAAGCCCATTGGCTCGCTCTTAATCTGTTGGTCAAACATAGAGGTCATTATGTTTTGTTGCGACTGAGCCAGCTGCTGTGGCTGTAACTCCCGTTGTTGCTGCTGTTGCTGCGACTGTTGTTGTTGGTGCTGTTGGTGCTGTTGCTGCTGCTGCTGGTGATGATGATGATGATGTTGCTGCTGCGGCGGCTGCTGCTGCTGCTGCTGCGGCTGCTGCTGCTGCGGATGAATTTGCTGATGAGGGAGCAGAGTCAGGTTGCGCTTGACAAACTGCTCATATCCTGCGTACCAATCCACCTGCATAGCAAGGAATAACTATAAATCTTATTTTCTTTTTATATTTTGATCACTATGAACACACTGAGCCAAGTATATAACGTCGTACGGTTCTAACGTTTCGCGCGAGCACGTAGACATTCGGATCCATTTAAGCTTGTGTTTATAATACGCCAGGTTAGTTCACAAGTTTTGACATTTATTTTTGACAAGTGACAGAAGGTAACTGGACGATCAGCTGATTGCATAACTTTTTACGTGTGGCGTTGGAAACGCGACAATAGATCCGTAGTTTTTAGTTCCGTAGTTAGAGAGAGACAGAGAGAGAGAGAGAGAGAGAGACAGAGAGAGAGAGACAAAGAGAGAGAGAGAGAGAGAAAGAGAGAGAGAGAGACAAAGTTGGTTGGTTTGATGTATGTGTGTTATATTACGCGACGAGTATATTATTCTACCGCGCGCTTCCTAATTCCTCGTAGCTAACTCTATTTTTAAAGGGGGTAAGAGGGGGGAACCAGCGTGCCGCCAGATAACGAAGTTTATATTATCACCGTTAAATAAGTATTTATCCCGCATACAATGACGAACAACAGGGCCGCGCGCGCGCTCAGCGGGACTCCTTGTTTCATTCCACCTTTCCCTAGACGACGACAACGACGACGAAGACGACGACGATGACGGCGAAGACGAAGAGGACGAGGACGAAGACGAAGACGAGGACAACGACGACGACGACGACGACGACGATGGCAACGGTGACCACCACGACGACGACGACGACGATAACCACGACGACGACGACGACGACGACGAAGACGACGAAGACGACGAAGACGACGCGCCGTGCATTGTTTTCCTTCTCACATTCGTTTCTTCATTTTACGAACCTTTGCTAAGTGTAGTGGTCCGGGCTATGGTCGAAATACGTCGCGCCTCATTCGAGCGCACACGCCTACCCTCCTCCGGTCGAGCGGCTTCACGGACAATCGCGAAACATTTGTAATGGGACAAATTGTTTTTCTCCGACACTAAATATAAGATGGCTGCTACTATATTTCGCGAATAGGCCACCTATATACACAATCGCGCACACATTCTACCCGCGCGAACTCTGATTGACGGTTTGCCATAACCCCTTCCGATTGGCCAACGATCCTTAAGCCTTTATCGTAACGAACGATCAATTTTTTGTTTTACATTATTCTATTAAACATCTGTCTTTTTTCTTTTCCTCCTTCTTCTTTTCCTTCTTCTCACTTAATACGAAAAGTATTATTTGTAAAATAATTAATTATTTATTACATAATAATTTTCTTTCAATATCATTTGTTTTATTCGTTAAATGTGTCAATGCTACTACTCCATTATCAAATGACTCCGTTAATTTACTTTGTAACCGTTCTTATTGTCTCAACAGTCGAATGAAAAATGGCGGGAATTCTAGAACCAATTCAAAATTACCGCCTGTTAGTTGGGTTATATAACTTACGTTTTAATCGATCACAATTATTTCGAAATATTTAATATCATGTTACAATTTTATTGAAATGTTTAAAACAAAAAAAAACAAAACAAAACAAAAAAGGTAATTTATTTCTATTCTTTTTTTCTTTTTTTGTTTTGTCATTTAATTCAATCGATTTAGTTTTCATTCGATTTTCATTCTATCAACTCTCGTTACGTCTCATCGATAAAGGTTCGTTCCGATTGGTCGATAGTTTGGTGCCGCGCTAACAGTAAACACAAGAGAGAAATACATCGCGTTATAGTCTATATAATATATAAATATGGCAACAACGTTGGAACTGAATTCATATGAACACGGTTCTTCATTTTATATATCGTTAATACCGCTCTCGTCCTTCTTCGTTCTTTATTTCTCTATTTATTCTAACAATTAAACGTGTAATATAAATCATAGTTAATTTAACGTTAAGTTTGTTACAACGATCTCACATTTTTATGTTAATAATCTACTAAGAGAGAACAATAATAATAATACATTATTAACAAAGTCATCACATATATACACATCGAAAGAGAAATAGAAATAGAATTAGAAGTTAGAGAACCATTTCTATATAACGTTACGTTTACTTTCATTCTAAAATTTCGTTAAAATAATATTAGATAGGGGTGTAAGAAGAAGAAGAAGAAGAAGAAGAAGAAGAAGAACAGGAAGTAGAAATAGAAGTAGAAGTGAAAAGAAGAGAACGAAAAAAAAAAGAAAAAAAATAATAGAAGAAGAAGAAGAAAAAGTAATCGTCTTTAATAATAATCATTATTGAGTGAATTGATTATTATTTAATCCTATCTGAGATATAAGTGAAAATAATTTAGGTAAGAGTAAACCTTTATTTGCATTTTTTTTGTCTCTCTGTTTGTCTCTCTCTCTCTCTCTCTGTCTCTGTGTCTGTCTCTCTCTTTCACTCTCATTATAATGATTATTGTATCATATTGATAACCATAGTCGTGTATATAATAGATACAATAATAATTCTACTACAATGTTATGTACATTCATGTAATCATCATATTATATACGTTAAAGTTTATATCATATAATATTAATATGATTTTTATAGATTGTAGATATTGTAAAGAAGATAATAATAATATGGCAGTACCATCAGAAAGTATTATTAATTCCAATATGAATGATCCGGTAACTAAAGCAGTTGTCGACAATATTATGGGTAATTTGCCAACGAAGAAACCTCATGTACGTTGCAATGACTGTGACTTATCATTTACTAGCCAAACAGTATTAGATACACATTTGCAAGGCTCACGTCACGCAAAACAGGTTTGCTAATATTTTTTTTTTTTTTTTTTTTTTTTTTTTTTTTTAATTTATTTATTTATTTATTTAATTCATAACTAATGCAAGCGAGCACCTTTATATCTCATAGATAAGGTCGAAAAATATAATGGCTTCGTTGGAAGAAACTAAAGTTGCATTTACCAAGGACTCCGACACTAACGGACTTAAATGTAACGTTTGTAATGTCTGCCTAAACTCCATACAACAACTTCAAACTCATTTAAATGGTATCGTTATATTTTTATTTATTAATAAGTTTTCTATAGGTTTACAAAAAAAAAATATATATATATATATATATAATTAGTTTTTAATTGGGTTTGGTTATATTGTATATGTATTAGGTTATTAACTGTGAAATGTCTGATTACTCGGATTATTTCATCTCAAAATCAGACATTTTGTATTTAATGACCTAATATATATATTTTTTTTTATCTCCCTGTATATATATATATATATTTTTTTACCACCCTGTATATATATTATATATATATATATACAAATATATTATAAAAATTATATTTAAAAAAATATATGTATATAATATAAGTTTTTAATTGGGTTTGGATATATTGTATATGTATATATATATTTTTTGTACCACCCTGTATATATATATACAAAAATATTCTAAAAATATTATAAAAATTATATTATAAAAAATATATATATATATATAATATGAGTTTTTAATTGGTTGGGTTTTGTTATATTATATATGTATATATATATTTATTTATTTACCACCCTGTATAAATATTATATATATATATATATACAAAAATATTATAAAAATTATTAAAATTATATTATAAAAAATATATAATATATAGTAGTATAAAAAATATATAATATATAATATAAATTTTTAATTGGGTTTTAATATATTATATATGTATATATATTTTTTTACCACCCTATATATATATATATATACAAAAATATTTTTAAAATATTATAAAAATTATATTATAAAAAACATATATATATAATATGAGTTTTTAATTGGTTGGGTTTGAATATATTATATATGTATATATATTTTTTACCACCCAGTATATATATTATATATATAAAGGGTGATAAATATTAAAAATGTTATAGATATTTTATATATATATATATATAGGGTTGTAAAAATATTATAAAAATTATATTATAAAAAATATATATATATACAGTGTGGTAAAAAAGAAAAGAGTCCAATATTTGAATCTCTTAATAATAGTTATCAAGAAAAGTAAAAAAAGGTTTAATAAATATCAACCCTAAAATTAATCCTTTTGCTTTAAATAAACTTGTAATTAATTTAAATTAAAATATAATAATTAATTGACATCAAAACGATTAATTTTAGGATCCTGTATTAATTTTGATACTTTTAAAAAAATAATATTAGGTAGGTAGACTGAAAAGTAATGTCACTGTTTAACCTCAAAATTCAAACAAATTTTTATTATTAACCAGTAATTAAATTAATATCCTAAATTAATTTAATCACGTTATCAACAAAAACAACCTTTTTTTTTTTTATCTGATATGCAAATGTTTAATATGATAACCATAAAAATTATCAATCAGTTTTCTGATTAAAAATATTAGAAATAATTTGACATGCGTAGTAACAACAACATTACTTTTCAATACCACCCCTTAATGTAAACCATTAAAATATTGGATACTTTTTTTCTTACCACACTGTATATATATAATAATATATATATTTATATATATATATATATACAGGGTGATAAATATATATATTATATATATATATACAGGGTGACCGTACAAATATTAATGAAAATTTGAACAACCAAAACTATATATAGGTTTACAACCCTATATATATATATATAATATCTATAACATTTTTAATATTTACCACCCTTTATATATATATATATGTACAGGGTGGTAAAAAATGTATATACATGAAAATTTGAAGAACCATTTTTATTAAAATAAAAATATTATTATTTTTGTTTTTTTTTTGTTTTTTTTTTTGTAGGAAGTCGACACAAAAAAAAGGCATTGAGAGGTAATAAAACAAATGCGGTAAGAAAACTGCCATATGGTTTAAAATGTCGCTCTGTACACATGGATAAAATAATAGAAAAGAATATCATCGTGTTGATTTATTGTTTAATACTATTTACATTCGCATGCTTAATATTGCTACTTACTTTCGCTTTTCATATGTTCTTTTAATGTTACACATTTATTTTTTCATATTTTCTCATTATCTATTTCTTCAAGCATTTTACTTTTTACCTGTCATTTTTTTTTTTTTTTTTTTGTAAATAATTTCTTTGTGCTTACGCCACCTACATTCACATACACATACACACACACACATACACAGACACATTCATTTTTCTGATTATTTATTAAAATCATTGATTTTGTCTCTCTCTGTTTATATATACATATATATATATATATATATATATATATATATATATACAGACACATTCATTTTTCTGATTATTTATTAAAATCATTGATTTTGTCTCTCTCTGTTTATATATACATATATATATATATATATATATATATANCTTTTGTATATATATATATATATATATATATATATATATATATATGCAAGCACATAATTAACAATAAATTGATTTAGCAATAAAATAATAATAATAATAATAATAATAATAATAATAAAGTTGGGAAGATTGTGTACACAAATAAACAATATTGTTAACTTATAATTTCTTATTAATTCTTATTATTTTGTTGTTAATAATTGTTTTTTTTTTCTCTTCATAAAATCGAATTCAAAATTACTACATGTATATATATATATATATATATATATGAAATCTCTATAAATATATATATATATATATGAACAGTTTGTTTGTTTGTTTTTTTTTTTCTAACTTTTACAAACGATTTAAAAATAAATACATAGAAATTTATAATAATCGATGATTAAAATTGTAACATAAAATTACAAGGAAAAAAGAATCTCAAATGGCGGTGTTAAATTGGGTTTGAATTTGTTTTGTTTTGTTTTTTAATTGTTTGTTTCTTTTTTGTTTGTCATTTGAAATAAAACAAAAAATAGTTAAATATCTAACTAAATTAACTATATCTATTTATCTATCTATCTATCTATATATATATATATATATATGTATTTTTATATGCACATATTTGCACATATAAAAAATATGATTTTTTCGAGCATCGCATCTAAAAGATAATTAAAATGAGAAAATAATCTAATAAAAAATCTCTCGTTCTACTTATGTTAAGCAGAGTTCTTTTTTTTCTTTTTCTTTTTCATTTTCTTTTTTTTATATCTACGATGACATAACCTCTTTCATCACCCCTAGACAAAAAAAAAAAATAAAAGCGGGATAGGGGAGAAAGATGAAATTAACGCAAAAACGGCAGCTAAAAAGCATTTAACATAAAATTTCTATAAATATATCTATATATATCTATATATATATATATATATATATATATATGTATACATAATTAATATTAATATTAAAAAAAAAAAAAAAAAAGAATAGAAAAAAGAAAACTTTAATTCAACTCGTTCCATTTCTTTTTAATTATTTATTATTTTATTTCATTTTATATATATATATATATATATGTTTTATTTTTTACAATGTTTTATCATTAAAAAAAAAATAAATAAAATAAGCAATAAAAAAACAACAACCATAAAAAGATCGGAATGAGATGATCGTTTTTTAGGATTTTGTTTTATTTAATGTTTTCCTTTTTCCTTTTTCTTTTTTCTTTTTTCTTTTTTCTATCTTTTATTCTTTACGAAATATATTTGTTTTTTTTTTTTNTTTTTTTTTCTTAATTTTTAATTTTATTTTGTAATCGCTTTTACATTAATGCGATAAATAATAGCGTTGATTATAAAATATTAATGCTTAGGTGGTTGGTACGGAAAAGAAGTTGTCACACAAGGTAGTTCATTGGTTGCTCCTGCAATCAACAACATACAGGATTCTGGTCCTATGAAGGCCGTCTCACTGTCATGTGATATATGCAACAAATTTTTCAACTCTCCTTCGCAATACAATGTGGTATAGTATTATACCCCATTAAGTATAATACAATAATTAATTATTTAATAATTTAATATTTAATATTGAGAGAATAGATTAGATTGAATTTAAAAAAAAAAAAAAAAAAACAAAACAACAAAGACAGATTAAGATAAGATATATATATAGATAGATAGATAGATAGATAGTACAATAGATAGATAGATAGAAATAAAAAAATAAACATAATAATTCTCAATTAAAATAATTTCAAGAAATATTACTATTATTATTATTATTAGTAGTAGTAGTAGTATTATTATTATTATTATTTTATTTATTTATTTTTTTTTTTTTTAAATAATAGGACAATAAAAATATATATACATATATATATATATATATATATATTTATTTATATATATATGTATATATATATATATATGTATAATATATGGTGTAACGATCATAAATTTGCAGCACATGAAATCCAAGAAGCACACTGGCAAAATGAAGAGAGCTAAGACTCAAAAAAAGAAACGATTTTCTCCATATTGGAAAAAACCAAAATCCGATACAAATTCGACCACTGTACAATCATTGTCAAATAATTTTGTACCGGGTGGCTTTACGAATCAAACATAGTGCTAAGAATTATTTTTTTGTTTAATTCGTAAGGATTATTATTATTATTATTATTATTATATTATTAATATTAATATTATTATTATTATTATTATTAAAAAAACTTTTCTTCTTTTCTTCTTTTTTTTTTTTTTTCTTTTCTTTTCACTCAGAAAAGAGTTTATGTATATATATAGATATATATATATATATGTATACATATTATATTTATTATATATATATATATAGATATATATATATAGATATAATAAACACGCATTTAATGAGAAAGAGAGAATGAGAGAAAGAGAATGAAAAATGATGAACACATGATTTGCATTAGAGAATTATAATTATTTACTTAAGCGTGTTTTTTATATTAAACTCTAAATTGAGTATAAAGTAAAAGAGAAGATGAAAACTTGTACATTGCGTTAACATTAAAACGAATTGATTATGATATTTCATTAAGAATCTTCTTATCTGGTCCATTTATTATTATTACTCTATCATTATTATTATTATTACTATTATTATTATATTATTACTTATTATTAGAATATTATTATTAGGATATTAAGAGAGAGAGAGAGAGAGAGAGAGAGAGAAAAACAAAAACAAAAAAAAAGAAGAAAAACCTGAAGTAAGCATTTATTTTTATCAATTATATAATGTAGAATCTTATTCGTTGTGTCTGTTAACGCAAAGGTATGAGTTTAGGTAAAGTAATTAATTAAAAAAAAAAAAAAAAAAAAAAAAAAGCGATCTGCGAAAAATATAAAATAATAATAATAAAAAAAAAAATTAAAAAAAAAAAAAATACAAGAGAGAAAGAGAGAGAAATAAAAAGATGCTAATATGTGATTTTAAAAAAAATAAAAACAAAAAATAAAACAACAACACAACCTACAAACTATTAATCAACAACTAAAACATGAAATGAAATTTGAACAAAAATTAGAAACAAAAAAAAAAAAAACAAAAAATACAAGAAATCCTCAACAAAGAGAGAGAGAGAGAAAGAGAAAAAAAACAAAAAATGAATTTCCAATTTTAATGTAAGAAAAAGTTTATTTATAAAAAGAAATGTGAATATATATATATATATATATGTTATATATATATATATATATATATCTGTATCTATGATTCTTCTTCGGTCTTTTGTGAATGATAGTTACATACTCAGCAAATACATATGTGTATATATATATATGTATATGTATATATATATATATATGCCGTTATTAAATAAGTCTATTAGTGTGCTAATTATGTTTATTATAATATTAGTAAGACAAAACTTGTAAGATTAAAGTAATGTTTATCTATCTGTCGTTAGAACGATAACATAGTACTATCCTTTGTTATTATTGTAAGGACAGTTAGCAACCTTCGATATGTTATCGAACATAAAAGTGTTGTATAAATCATGCATATATATATATATATATATAATTCCTATATTTGTCAATAGAAAAAAGAAAAAAAAAATTAAAAAAAAGACAAACAAACAAACAAATAAACAAAACTACTAAAATGAAAGAAAAGGAAAAAGAACTGTGAGAAGGGGTGGGTTGAGAGGGAGAGAGAGAGAGAGGGAGAGGGAGATAGAACAACAAAACAGGAGAAATGTGAATTGTATTTTTTTTTTTTTTTTTTAATAATCAATTTACATATAGAAATATAAAAAGCAAGCAAGCAAGAAAGAGAAAGAGAGAGGGAGTATATATTAAATTGATTCAACGAAAGAACAAAAAAAAAAATCTTCCAATTGTATTTTTTTTTCATCGTTTATTTTTTTTTTTTTTTATTTTTTTTTTTTTTGGAAGAGAGAAAAATACTATTTCGGCCCAATTTTTTAAAAAATAAATAAATACAATAATAAATATATATATATATGTATATGTGTTTGTTGAGTATTAGCGATTGTTCTTTACAAACGTACTACCATGATCCTCTGTGTATATAATTAAAAGAACAATGAAAAAATAAGAAACAATAATAATGTTTAAGTAAGAAAAAAAAAACAGAAATAAATAAATAAATAAATAAATAAATAAATAAATAAAAGCAGAGTTAATGAAAGAGAGCGAATGTAACATGGTGGTACACGACGTATATGTACAGAATCTAATAAAGATTCTGTCTTTTATATTACGTTTGATTTTATTTACAACATTGTCATTGTATAAGTAAACTTTATTATCAACTTTGTTGCCTTTTTTATCCATCAATTGAAATAGATATAAAATAATTAATTATTGTTCATGTGGTGGTTCAATGATTGACCAAACGCGGTGTTTTTTTTTTTTCTTCTTCCTCTTTTTTTTTATTAAAGAGTAATAGTAACAAAAAAATATTTATTGGCATCTTGCCCTGTGGGTTTGGGAATAGAATATGCCCACAGTATCCTCTGCTTGTCGTAAAAGCCGACTAATAGGGGTTGAGTGTTGGATCTGATTTAATCATCCAACCTCGTAAAAATTAACTTAAGTAACTTCGAACACATGGAAAGTAGATGATTTCATTTGATTCATTTGTTTTTTTTTTTTATTACATTTCAATAGACAAAGATAATTCTGTTTCTGTTATTGAACTACTTTCAGTATCCTAGGACAAAAAAAAAAGAAAATTATTGTGTATGTTAAATATTTATTGTATTTTTTTCTTATAAAAAAAGAAAAATATAACCGACCTTTATGGTGTAAGTTTTGAGCAAACGTCGTAGTTCAGAATTTTGTTTCTTTAAAAATTCAATCTCATTATTCAATCGTAGTCTTTCTTTCAAAGTTTCATGATATTGTTTAAGACCAACGAGTAAACCATCCCAAAGACGTTCCTTAGTCGGTGGAAACAAATCCCTGTATCTTTTCCAAAATTCTTGAATATCCTCAATGGTCAAACTACGCGAGATAGTAACTTTCTTAGTGAATAATCGTTCCTTCAATGATTCCGGTGTTTCGTCGCGTTTAATAAAATGATATTTCTCTATGAATTCTTTCAACGCTCTTGTAACATAAGACGCATGAATTTTGAGCAAATGACCCTTTTTACAGACCAGTCGACTCAGTTCATTTCCTTCCGATGAATTTTTACTTTCGATGTTTGACGAACACAATTCTTCTGAGGAAATTGATCGTATAGTCTCTCCCAAGGGACGTGGATCTTGCGATTGATCTGAGTCAACGTGTTTACAAACACCTGATGAGCATACATCATCAATGAAGAACTCTTGTTTTATTGTTGACACTAATTTAGACGCTGCTTCATCGTCTAATTCTTCACCACATACCACAGGTGTGTTACTCCTTATTTCACATTTATTTATTTATTATTATTATTATTTATTATTATTATGATTTAATTTATAATTTAATATAATTTTGTAGATTACGTCAAATGTGTTGTGTTATACATACGTGCTCGATGATGATGATGATGATGATGATGATGATGATGATGATAATGATGATGAAGAAGATTGTATTATTTTGTCCGTATCTTTGGATATATTATTATCAGATGATCTACAATCGGGACAATATGTATAAGGCAGAAAGAAATTTAATAAGAAGTGAACTTCCTCTTCGGATACAATGTTTAATGCCTGGAAAAACATGTGATTAAAATGATCGATTGATATCTTTTCATTTCAGAATAATTATTGAATACACACGTAAACACACACACACACACACACACACCTGAAAAACATTATCCAATCTAATAATTATATTGTCCTCAATTGTATACGGTATAAGTATTTGTTGTATATTATCATCAATCAGATAACCCGATTGTTCGGATATTTGTTTCATTATATGATTCAACAAACGTCGTTCCAAATTGATGTCTTCCATGGTCAATGCTTTTTTATAAATAATAGGCATTTGTTTCTTTTCCAAAGCATCCATCCTTTCTATAATATAACAAGATAATATATTATTAATAATAATAATAATAATTTTGTATAAATTAATAATAATAATAATATTACCTTTATTTATTGTACTAATTGCAGTACAATAAGAAGGTAAATCTTCCTTGGTCAAAAGTTGTTCTTCTGGTGGTTGCCATAATAATCCTAAAGCTTGTTCATGTATTATTCGATCGGTAGCCATAATCTAAAACGTATCATTCATTCATCACATTATCCATAATCTTCATTAATGTTATTATTACTATATTTGTTTAAGAATAATTCATGATAATAATTATATAAATTACTTGATGAAAATTACTTTATCGACCAGCTCGTTGGCACGTTTTACATTCATGTCCCATATTTGAAAGTATTTCTTCTCATTGATGTTGGTAAAATGTTGAGATTTCTCTTCAAGTTCTAAAATATTTTTATGAGCTTTGAGAACTTGATCGGTCAAGTTTTGAATTTCAATTCGCGTGTCTTCTTCCAATTTGATGTAAGTTTTTTTTAATTCGTTCATAATATCTTGAAGCCTAAACAATGTTATGTGTGTATTAATTAATATTACTTTGTGTATTATTATTTTTTTTCTTCTTTTTTTTTTCAATATGGTGGACCGTAAAGTGTAATGTCGCTTTCTAACCTTTTCAAATCAAACGAATTAATTTTTAACAAATATTATTACTTTTAAATTAATAATACAATCACATCTTGTTATCAACAATCCAATGTTTTATCTGATAAACAAATTTTATAATATCAGATTGGTTTTTAATTAAAATCTAAAAACATGCATGTATTGAAACGACATTACTTTTTGGTCCCCCCTCCCGCCCCCCCCCGACCCTTTAATACTAACTTATTAATTCGTCTTTTCTGTTCATTTTTGATTATAGTATTTTCTTCATCTCTATGTTTGAGAACAGCATAATTGTAGTTCAATTTTTCAACGTTCATCAAACAAAAAGCTTTTGTATCTTGAAGCTTTTGTTGAAGATCTTGATTCTTCAATTCCAAGGTGATTTTTTGAGAACGAAATTTTTCATGATGTTCAATCATTACTCGTTCCATTTCTTTCTCATAATCACGTACAATTTCTTTTCTTTTTTCTATAGCATCTGTATTATCATTGCGCAACTTTTCATAGAAAATTTCCCATTTTTCTTCCAGCGTATCCAAGATTGATTTACGTTCAGCATCCAAAACATTGTCGATGTTGTCCAATTCTTTACGATAAGCTTTAGCTATAACGTTCAACTGTTAACACAAACAACATATTTTTTTGTTGTAAATCAATAATTAACGAACAATTAACCGTTTGCACTAAAACGGCGTTGAATTAGCACAGGAATTAGCAGATTTAAGTGGCAACTCGAATGGCGCTGATACGGCGCCCAATGACTGATTTCAAGTCTTGTGTTTAATCTATCTGCTTATTTACGATGTTTTATAAGATATTTCTTTTAAAATATACTTAAAGGGTTGAAAAGGGACTGTAAGGTTTGTTCTGATCGTAATACACCTAAAAATAGGCCGGAAGTAACATATTATTGTGTCCTGATAAACCTAGGATGCAACTTTTGGGTATTGTTTTACGAAATATCATACAAAAATTAATTACAGAGTATAATATTTTTCAAATTTGGTATAAAAATAAATCAATTGATGAAATTTGATTACTTGTATACATTTGTTTGTTTATAAATGACTTTAATGTTGCCCTAATTTGTCCCAAATTGTCTCAAATTGTTGGTTAACGCAAACAAAAAAGGTTTCAAGTGTAAAGGGGGTTTAAGTTCCAAGTAAAATGATCAACCTGACGATCTATTCTTTCGATCAATACATCGACATCTTCGTTTTGTTTCTTCAAGTCGTCCGTAAATCTGAGATCAGCATTTTCCAGTTCAGCTTTAAGTCCAATTATAACTTCATCCTTTTTAGCTATTAATTCTAAACATTTAGTATTTTGACGTTTCATTTCTTCGTGTATGTCCAATGGATCTTTCGATGTGAGAATGTTAGACCATTTTTGATTGATTTCTTGATACTTGAGCATACATTCCTCGTTCTCTTTTTCAAGTTTTTTTAATAAAGTTTCTCTCGTAGCTTGGGTTTCTTTACGTCGTTCCAATTCACGTGCATCATTTGCAACTCTAACATTAGATATCTGTGCGTATTTATTGATACTTTTGTTAGAATATTTTGTGTATTAATCAATACAAGTGAAATTTAGATTGTAGAGTTTGATTGTAGGATTAATACGAACCACTTCTTCGGCTTCGGTTTTGATTTCTTCAAGGATTTCGGTACTGGTCAATATTTGTCCTTCGATAGGAGTTCTTTCAATAATTTCTTCATCTTCCTTTCTTTTTACCCTAAATAATAAAACATTCTTGACATATATCATTGTTGAGATATCTTGTAAAAAATACTTTAAACATTATGTTATCATTATTTGTAATTATTAATTGTGTTTTATTTATTTGTAGTTTATTAAATGATGAACTACAAAATCATACTTATGCAGAGCACTCAAACGATGTTGAATTCGTTGTCTTCTCGCCAATTTTCGTATATTTGGATCCGAAGATGTAACTGACAATTCCTTGGACTTTTTGTCCTTTTCAACATCTTCTATTAATTGTTTTTCTTTAGCAATCATGTTCTAATTATATATTTATTTTTTCTATTTTTAGGTCATTGGCAAATATAATTATTGCAATAATTAACAAAAAGAACTGAGTTAATGTAAGAAGATTGTAAAATGATTTATTTCAAGAAGTAAGCATATACATTTTACTTTTTCAGAAAACATAGCATGGTGATACAAGTTTGTTTAATCAATTTTTAAGTCATGTTTTTAATTACAAAAATAATCGTAGGATAATTAATCTCAGTCGGTAACAATTTCATGTCGATAATATTTTCCAGTCGGTAACAATTCCATGTCGGTAACAAATATCTGTCGGTAATAAATTCATGTCGATAACAATTACACATTCATTCCAACAACAACCGCTAGATGACTCTAGTAAGATCAATCGAAATAATGCCGCCATTTTGTTAAATCCTGCTGGTCATCCAATATCAAACGTATTTTATTATAGATACAAAATTGCTATAAATGCAATTATTTAAAAAAAAAAAAAGCTTAACGCGCACGTTTGTATTATTTCATAAGAAATATCAGCAATCGTCATTAAATCTTCATATTCTTATTGGTTTTTCATCATACTTTAATTTTGTATTTAATGGAATGAAATTTCCATAATTTTCGCGTTCACGTAAGAGACGAATTCGATCATCGTAAGTGGAAAACCGTGTATACTTTAATTCACATATTCATTCGTACAACCATTCGACGATTAAAAACTTGACGAATACAAGATTGAAGAGAACATTATCACATATACATATACATACGTATCTACATACACATGTATAGAATAAAAAAAGGAATTGCGACAAAGGCTCTCGGTTTGAAACACGCAGAAAGTTGATGTTTCATTAGTTCAAACATCGGATGAGTATGACACATTCCTCATCATTGGATAAGTTTTGTTTTCTTCTTTCTCTCGTGTAAGATGCAAAAGAAAATAATTTACGCGCGCTTAAATGCAATATACGTACCGTTAGATTCAAAGAGAAACGTGGTATTAAGGTTACAGTGAAGATGAAGATGAAGATGAAGAAGAACAAAATATTTCTTTGACAAGAACAATGAACTCTTTTCATCGTTCACCAATAATAAGAAAACTTGGTGAACGGGTTAAGTGGAAGGAAGCAGGGGTGGGGGAAAACTAGTACTAGTATTACTTACGAACAATTCATTCAAAATGGCGGATTATAACCTATTAGTTTTCGAACGACCTTCAACAGTTAACGTCATTCGAAGTTCATAGAGTTGTTGCAAAAAGAAATCTAGGAAATTAGAAATATTGAATCAATTTGATAGGAATGTTTATAAGATTCTTAGAACCAATCGAATTCTTCTGATATTTTTTTCCAAATAAAAGAATTCTTTTTTCACCTGCGCTTCTGCTTGGAAGTGAAAAAAAGAAACAAACCCAATAAGCGCAGACCACTTGGTAGAGTCATAGAAAACAATAAATACAATATTATTAGTTTTAATAATTTTCTTTATCAACTGACACGACGATAACTACGACCACGATGAAGATGATGAAGATGATGACGATGATGACGATGAAATACGTTTTCTTGCAGTACACACGCGAACGAGAAAGAGACAGAGAAGAGAATCGAGCGCGATCGATACTCTTGAACTGTAAACAAGAAGGGTAAAAAAAAAAAGGGTACGTCGTTGTTGACGACGAGAGAGAGAGAAAGAGAGAAGAGAGAGAGAGAGAGAGACACATGACTCATTCCATATCGATCCTTAAACTCGTACGATCCGTTTTGAAAGTAACATTCAATTGGAACCGACACTGAACATAAGTTTCCTCAAATTTCCTCACAATTTTGTATTACTTTGACTTGTCATACGAATAAATTAACTAAAAATACACACACACACACACAAGCCTAAAGGACATATATTTACGTAAACTTTTCTACATTTTTAAATAAGAAATAAAAAAGTAAAACAAAAAACATAAAGAAAAGAAGAAGAAGAAGAACAACAATTTCGCATGTAATTCGCGACGCGTCATTGGCGAGGGGTTGGTGGTGGGGTTAGGGGAAGCACCTTCGGTCGATTTGACTTTGGAATTCGTTGGAAAGTCGTTTCCGGTTGGAGTTCTCGATAAAATAACACGTTGGTATTAGAAACAATGCTCTAGGAAGATTTTTCTTGACTCCTCTAGCCCCCCCTAACCCTCGACCCACCAACCCAAGCCCACTACTGTATTACTAATACCATTACTACTAGTATTATTGCAACTACTACTACTACACACTACTACTCTCGTTCCTCTTTCTCTTTTGTGTCCCTCGAGGACGCGTTGGTGGTCTCTCCCTGGTCGATGCGAAAACACGATACACACACATATATATATGTATATATATCGTCGTTTGTTAGAGCAACAACAGCAGCAGCAGAAGTCGTTAATTTAAACAAAAATATATTGTACAATCGTCATTTCATTCGAGGTAGTAACACCTTTACGCGCTGAACCAATCGGACATTGGAACGTCATCGTCAAGGGAACGTCAAACAGTTTGTTGTTTCGTCGTACTGAACGAGTCAAAGCGAACGAACCTTATGGCGGATCGTACGTGCATACATACACACGTTATATACACACATATATATATATATATATTTATACACATTTAAAAGCATTTATACATAGGATACATGCATGCATGCATGCATGCATACATACATATATACGAGTAACCACAAAGGCGCGGCGACGACCGCCATAGTCGATGCCATGGACTCACAACGGTCGTTGGTCGACACGAGTTTAGTGAAAACAAGATGGAGCGCCAGGTCCGTACTATATTCAAACTAGTACCCCTACCTTTGAGTTCGTCACTTTTCGTTCATTTTATCGTTTATTTCTTACAATATTATTCATGATCGTTCGAAAATATGTTTGTTAATGATTTATTAAATAACCAATGTAATTAATTTAACTAAATAAATACGCTAAAAGGGATTGAACCTTAGATTTAATTCAATTTAAGTATTCAACGAAGGAAGAAAATGAAAATTGCGTTTATTTACAACAAATATTCATTTATTTGATTGTCGAACTTGGAAGAAGCCTATACAAAGTTATTAATTTTAATAGAAATTAGTTTAAATACGAAAAGATTAGATTTGCGTCGACAAAGATTGAAACTTTCGAATCGTTAGTATAAAGAAACTTGGGAGTATAGTTAAATAGATTTTTGTATTGTATTTGATTTTATTTTCCTAATATATAATCCAATAGTCGGTCATTATTCTCTGTGTGTGCTTGCTCTCACAGTAATAGAAAGTACAGATGTCCCGGGTAATTGGCTGCACTTAAAACGGCCCTGGAGGAGAGCGGTACGGAAAGAGAAAGAGAAAGAGAAAGAGAGGGGAAGATAATAAGAAAGATGGCGGGTTTGCGTTGTGTCGTCGTCGTCGTCGTCGTCGTCGTTGGGTAGCATAGTCGTCGACGACGACACCAACGACGACGATGACTGTGAGCAAAAGGGTGCAGGAGGAGCAGAGGGACACTACGCGACGAGGGGGCTTTGTAGGAGAAGGAAAAGGACAGAACTAAGAGAGTTCCTCAAAGCGTTGCGGTGCGAGGCAAAGGGATGTAAAGATAGAAAGAGAGAATAAGAGAAAGAAAGAAAGAAAGAGAAGTGAGAGAGAGAGGGAGAGAGAGAGAGAGAGAGAGAGAGAGATGATCGTTTGAAAGAGAAGGGGAATACACAGCGCTCTCGGCTCGGGGGTTCGGGTTAGCTCGTTCGACCCGTTATCCCTTCTCTCACCCAAAGGCTCGAGATCTCCCCTACCTGTCCTTGCTTCGATTCTACACGAATATCATTCTCATTCTCTCTCTCTCTCTCTCTCTCTCTCTCACTCTGCATATTTCCCCTACTCTAAAGGAAGAGAGAAGGAGAGAGAGAGAGAGAGAGCTTTTCCGCCGGCAACGGCGCGGAAACGTTCTATTCCCCCTCCTCACTACCAGCACCAATTCGCAATCGGCGAAAAGGGCGCTTGCGCTTGCGCGCGCACTGACACGTACACGTACACGTACACACGTCAACCATAAACTCACTCAGCAGAGCTTTTAGTAGCGCGCCACGGCGCACAAACACGACACTAATGTCCTACTCTTGTGATATTCCCCCTCCCCTCTCTCGACAAACCCACTTCCCCTCTACCGTTTTTACCCCTCTTGGTATGGGGTGGGAGTAGAGAACGTAAAGACATGTTTTCCGTTTCCCCACCAGACAGCGTAGCCTTACTCGAGGACGGCGGCGCTGCTTTACCCCCACCACCTAGGATTTTAATAGAACCGTGGAACGATAGCAGGAACGGGAGCGGGCGCCGCTAGCCAGCGAGCTGCGCTACGCTCCCGCCACGGTGACGTCACTTGGAGTAGTGTAGAGCAGTGAGTAGGAGCGAGCTGTTCACTCCCGTCCGCAATAAAGCTGCGCCCTTCGAAAAACGCGTGTTGTTTTATCGTCATTCACGAGTATAGAAAAAAATAAATAAAAAGAAAGAGGATATAGAAAAATAAAAAATAAAAATTACGAAGTCACCTGCATACGGACGTGTGTGTTTTTTTTTCGCGCGCGCGGGTGAAAAGGAAGAAAAAATAAATTTAAAAAAATAAAATAAAAGTAATTGAAGGAAGAAAATTTTTGCATTGGCAAAATTATTTGCATTTTTTTTTTTTTCTTAACATCTCTTCCTTCTTTTTCTTTCTTCAAAATATAATATATATATATATATGTATATATATATGTATATATATATACATATTTCTGTAAATTTGTAAAATAAATTAATAATAATAAATAGAAGGAAGAAAAAGCAAAATAAAAAAAATTAATCGCGCGCAAGGTGTGGAGTGGTGGTGGAGTGTGGATTGGTGGTGTGTTGTATTTCTCTCTCTCTCTCTCTCCCTTCTTTCTCTCTCTTTCGTTGTGTGCGTGAGTGCATCCCCGGTGAGGTGGATAATAACCAGTGAGTGCGTGAATATTAAAATCCCTTTTTTTTTGGGTTCTTTGAAATTCCCTAAATTATTTTAACTCTCTCTCTCTCTTTTTTATTTTTACTCTTTCTCTATCTCTTTCTCTCTGACTTCGAATTCGGGGGGGGAGAGAGAGAGAGAGATAATAGATAATAAGAGAGACGACAGCAGCAGACACACACACACAAACACACAGACGTAGAGAGAGAGAGAGATTGCCGAGTTTAACGACCACGACGTTCAAAGCACCCACTATATTCAAACGTAGAAGGAGAGGGAGGAGGAGGAGGTGGAATCCTGAAAGATAGGAGAAAGAGTTAGAGCGAGAGAGAGAAGAAGAGTAAGAGGAGGAGGAGGAGGAAGAAGAAGAAGAGGAGGAGGAGGGTGAGGGTGGGTGTATATCTCGTGTGTCACGATTATTATTTCGTATTAGTTTTCTTCTTCTTATCCAAGAAGAAGCCGCGCAGCAGACAACAACTACATATACACGGGTTGTGGGCCTGGTGGGCCTTCTTCTCTACGTGGGAAAAAACGAAAGCAAAGAGTGGTGCCTATTGTGTGTCTTATTTCTCTCTACCGTGTTTGCTGTGTTGTCCTGTGGTAGTAGTTGGTGGTTTGTTGGGAGGGGGGAGGAATAGTGACCGGTAGTGGTGACATCCGATTGAGTAAGAAGAAGTGGGTGGGTAACACACAACATATATACATCATACATACAACAATAAATAATAGAGGGAGTCTACCCAAAAACACTCGGCAGCAATAAAAGTTTTTAATAAAATCACGCGGGAAGCCTGAATCCTGACGAATAAAATCCGTTTGGGTACTTCCCCTTCTACATTTGTCGGTTTATAGTCAATTATGACAAATGCAGCGACTGTTAACTCGGATGAAGGATGTAATTCGTCGTCAGTTGATATAGTTGTATTCTAAAGGAAACAAAATTCAATATAAAGTTGTGTTATTCGAGTGAAAATAATCAAGCCCAGTACTACAATAGCAGTAGCAGCAGTATCAACGACAACATCAATTGTGTAGTTTCCTTTTACCCTTTGGTTATCTCTTTTTTGGGGGTTTTGGAAGAGAAGAAAAGAAGCAAGCAGCAGCAGCAGCAAGCCTGGTGGTGGTTGAGGAGAGTTGTTCTTTTCGGTTTAAGTTATTTCGTTGATATTTGTTTAAAGCCCATCATTAAATACGGTGTTATTACATTAAATTGTTTGGAAAGATTAATGATGGATCGGCCGCTAGGTTTTACCGTAGTGGCCCGTGGTGTGACGTGTGATTAGCCCCCGTCGGTTTAGCCGTTCATAACGTGAATTAGTGGTGTACGATGTGGTGTTCGGCGACGGCCCTGGTCCTCCTCGTAGCCGTTGCCGTAAGTGGTGTCTTTTATAAGGGCTCATATTCTAGGTTATCCCATCGTTTAGTTTATTTAACAAGAAATCCTCCCATCATCGACTTTATTATTTACGCGTCGACCTCGCCGTCGTCGTCGACCTCGTCGTCGACCTCGTCGTCGTCGGCGTCGTCGTCGGCGTCGTCGTCGTCGTTGTTGTTGTGGTGGTGGTGGTCAACAACAACGTTATCCTCCTCCAATTTGCTAACTGAGTGGTGGTTATCATCATCATCATCACCATCATCATCGTCGTCGTCGTCGTCATCTTCGTCGTCGTCGTCGTCGTCGTTGTTGTCATCCTCGTCATCGAAGTCATCATCATCGTCATCCTTGCTGACGTTGACAACGCGAGAAACAACACCCCCAATACTGTTATCTACCAACAACAACAACAGCAACAACCGTTGGCGAATAATTACCAACAACAATCCGAACGAAGGCAATTTCAACTTCAACTTCAACTACAACGATCACAACGTTACTAAGGTGGACGACGATCATACCAGTTCAAGTTCCAGCAAAGACGCACTTAGAACAAACCAACCTAAAAACAATCTTGTTATAACCAACAACGATAGAAATTATTTCAACAAAAAAACTGTTGTTAATTGCATCAACAGTTGCTACTATATTAAAGACAATAGCGACAATTGCAATTACAAAATAATAAACAACGTCGCCAGTACTATTGGATTATTGTTCAACGTTATATTAATTCTTATTAATCCAATCAACAACAACGCCATCATCAACAACAATATCACTAAAAATTGCAGTGGTGGCGGTAGTGTCATCATTCACCAAAATATCAACAACAGCCCTTGCAGTGGAATCATCAACAACAGCAGCAGCAGCAACAACTTTATCATCAACAGCAGCAGCAGAAACAGGAACATTGTTGTTAGTGCTAGTGTTTAGTGATCATCAAGATCTGTTGTTGTTTAAAATTGCATTCTTGCTTTTGGTTCATCGATATAGTTCATTGAAATTTTTCCCCTAGTTTTAGTTTTTCACTAGAAAAAAAAAAAAGAGGAAAAGTGTAAATACGATTTGAAAAGGAGATATATATATATATAAATATAAGTGTTTCTTCGTGAAAATTTAGTGCTACAAGTAAACATCGTCGGATTTAACAACTTAACGTTCCTTCGATTATATTTTCTATTTTTTTTCTCTCATTTTTTTGGGTTTATTATTATTTACTATTAAAAATAGTTCTTTGTTCTCTACTACTTATTATTATTAATTATCATTGTTAATTATTTTTCGTGTACAATATTTCTTCTTTTTTTTATTATTAAGTGCGTGCAAGAAAAAGAAATACACGTCGTCGTCGTCGACGTTGTCAACACAACAACAACCAATCAACGAGTTTTTCACATCGTCGTGTTGCGTGCACGTGGTTTTTTTTTTTTCAACGATTATAATTATTAAGTGTGCAAAAAGAAAAAAAAAGAAAAAAAAAGGAGTTGTTTTATTAAGTACAAGAAATATTAATTAAAAGGAAGAACACGCGTTTGTTTCTACGAGGAGAGAATAAAAAAATATATAAGAGAGAGAGAAATAGAAAAAGAAGAAGAAGAAGAAGACAAAAAAAAAAGGAATTTTTCTTTTACAGTTTGTTCTATTTTACTTGTTTCATTTGTTTGTTTCTCTCTTTCTCACTCGTTCATACCAACCAACACAGCAACGTTGTTTCTCATCCTTATCTTACTCTAATTAAAATAGAGAAGAAGAATTTTTACAAGTATAATAAAATTATTTAAGTGGTGTGAGATTTTGGTGTGTTCGCGCAAAAGAAAGTGCCCATCCAGCCAGTCCGGTTGTTTTTAATATATATATGTATATGTATGTATATATATACATATATATTAATATATATATATTATATCATCGGTCCTAGTGGTTGTGTGTCGTTATACAGTGCCGTCAAACGATACCACAACATCCGATCCCAAATGAAGAGTTCGGAGCAAAATGGTTAGAGAGACACGTCACCTGTGGGTTGGAAATCTGCCGGAAAACATCCGAGAGGATCGTATAAGAGAGCATTTCAAACGGTAAGCCTATGTTCACTTTTTTTTTTTTTTTTGTATATCCTTTGCATTTGTTGCACCAAACACCCAATTTCAGCAACAGCAAAATTTCTACTCTCCAATTTGCTGCTTCATTTCTAATATTCTTCGTCTATTGGCTGCTGTTGCTAAGATTTCATTTCATTTTATTTAATTTTATTTAATTTTATTTTATTCTCTAATTGCAACTTGATAAAACGTTGATTGTTGATAAACCACCCACTTTTTATTTTCCATGGTTTTTGTTCATTGTTTTATTGTACAGACAGTTATTTTCAGATTAGATATTAAATGATATAACCTTATTGGCTGCTGATAATCCACGTGACTTGATAGAAAACATGGCGATTAGCAATGACTCATATGATGATTAACACGTTAACAACTTATATTTAAAAATGATATTCTTTCTAATTTTTTGATAAAAGTACTAAGTTTTCGAGATATATTTGAAACATTTTATTCTACTACGATTAATAATGTTGTTGTGCATGTATTATAAATGTAATTTTAATTTGATTGAACAATTTGAATCATTATTAATGGACGACGCCATTTTACTTATTTTTCCCCCTCTCAACTACTAATTTTTCTTTTTTTTTAGTTTTCATGGAATCATTTTCATTTAGGTGAATTATTTTAGAGTCAATTTGTCGTTTGAATACGGTTGTTAGAACTTTGTTCCCTTTACTTAAAGTGGGTATAATCTTAAAGTGTATTATTGTTTGGTAATTATTTATATTTAGTTTATTTTGATAGGTTATATATATGTTTTGAAACGAATATTTATTTTCATTAGAGAAAATAACCTTTGATTATTCTATTATTCAAAAGTATACAAGAAATTATTACCAACGATGATGAAAATAAAAAAAAAAAATAAGAAAAACTGTAATTATCGTTGATTTTTCTTATACAAAAATGGCGAATGGGAGAGATATGATGATGGTTTGATTATTTTTCTCGATAATATTCAACAACCAAATTCATTTTATTACAAAAAAAAGTATTCCTTTTACAATTGACATCGTAAAAAGATTATTTATTTTTTTTTTTGTGTGTTAATTTTATGAATCCTAACCTCTGAAAAATCACCGTTAGATTATCTTACAAAAGGGAAAACGAGATAACACGAAAAAAAAGGGAAATCTTATGATCTAAGTTTGTAAGAAGAGAAACTATTTTTTTACATTATGTGAATAAAAGGTTCAAGGGAAAGGGAGTAAAAAAGGAATGTTATTGAATACTGACTGACCGTCGGGATTCCTTCCATATTTAAATAACCTTTAAAAAGAATCTTGAAATCTTCGATAGAATTTCTATGGACAAGCGAATATAAAATAATGGTCCTTTCATATTAATCATAAATCTATATAGGACCCAAAAGATTCGTTGTGATATTCAATTTTATTTCAATGTAAAAGAAAAGGGAAAAAAAACAAGATTTCTCTTTTTTCTTTAAGAAAAAAAAAAAAAAAAAAATATTTGTTTGACTCACGTAGTAGTCCTCAAATCAATTTTTCTTGCGCTAATCTTTCTTCATTCAGAAGAAAAAAAAAAAAAAAAAGATTCTGGAAAGTATTTTTATCGCACAAAAAGAAAAAAAATAAGAATGGGAAAGGGAAAGGGATTTCCTTTGATTGTCCCTCACGTTTTCCAATAAGTTTGTGTTTGTGTGTGTATTGCTTGAAGAAAAAAAAAAAGAATGAAAAAAAAAAAATGTTTCTTCAAGGTTACTTGATACTAATTTCCTTTTATAGAAAAGATAAAAGAACAAAATGGGCATTGAGAAATGGGGGAGGGGGTATTTAAAGAAAAAAAAAAAACCCAGGAATTTTCTACAAAAGAAAAATAAAGATATGAATCTTCAATTTTTCAGCTTCTTCTTCTTCTTCTTCTTCTTCTTCTTCTTTTTTTTTTTTTCTCATGGTGTCGATTGAATTTTCTTTTTATTTCACAAACATGTGGCACATACACAACAGCACAGGTTTTAGGAAGGTTATGTTTTCTCTTATTTCGAAATACGATTCTTTCCAATGATGGAAAAATGTTTTTGACTTTGTACGTAGAGTTTCGAGAGAATCTTAAAAAGCTTTACGATCGGAAAGGGTGGGGGGGGCGGGGAAGCCAAAAGGAAGGAGCAGCACCCACGTACGCACACTACGGGGATGACGATGAACATCGTCGTCTTCTTCGTAGTTTTGCTGCTGGTGCAGAGGGCCTTGGCTTCTTCTTCTTCTTCTCTTATTTCTCTTATTTCTCTTCTCTTCTCTTCTCTTCTCTTCTCTTCTCTTCTCTTCTCTTCTCTTCTCTCTTATTCTCTCTCTTCTCAGTTCGCGTAGCGTGAACGCACCGTCATTTGTTTTTTCCCCGAAGTAATAATAGCTGAGGACAGCCATTTTGAGAGCTCGCGGCGGCACGAAGTTATTGTTCGATCAGTGGCTCTCAACTTGCGGCTACCTTTTCCTATACTTTTTGGTTTTTTTAATTAAATATGATGAACATTACGAGATCAAATTATTAATGTTTAATTAAACATAAAACATTCTACTACCCCTTTTGTTATTTTAAATGTTTCGGTCAATATCATGTTAATTTGACCTCGTTAAAAGTATATTTAAAATACAAAGAAACACAAATTCAGGGCTCTCCTCTATCTCTCTTGTTTAGTTTTGATCGTGCAAATATTTGATTTTAATTAATTTATTAATTAATGTGTACGCCATATTTGTTCATATTCAAAGTATCTTATAAAATATTTGAAAGTGTTAAGTTTCAGGAGGGGAACTTTGCATAAATGTTAGAAACTAGTCTACTTATTTTTGTTTTGTTTTGTTTTGTTTTGTTTGTGTTTCGTTGTTGAATAATCAACGATTATTTTATCGTTCGTGTTAGAATATACATAATTTATTATCTCATTAATAGGAGAATATATTATTCGGTAATAATTTATAATATCCTGTTTACGTGTAATTTGGATTGTGTAATTGCCTTACCTTGCTATTGCACGATATAAAGTAATTCGTAATATATCTTATCGATGTTTATAAGTACCTTTGTCATTTAGTTTCCAATACGTCATTCGTTAAGTTCCAATTACATGAAATAAACAAGACTTAGTTTGAAAAAGTATTTTATTTTGGAAAAGTACAGTTCACTTTTAACGACCAACCACTACCATCACATTTGAAAACTTTCTTTAGATTTTTATCTCTAATCTGTACTTTTCCGTAGATAAATACATTTTGTTAGAATGACGAGATTATGACTCAATGTAAAAGATAATCTGGAATATCTCTTAGTAAAATATATATATATATATATTTTTTTTTTATTGTACCATATATATGAAAATTTAGGATGTTTATCGTAATGGAAGAAAAACGTGTCTTATAAATATTCGAAAGGTAAAAGTAAGTTTGACTGGGTCCTACACACAAACACACACACACATACATATTACATATACATACAACGTAAGCAATGAACTTCGTCTCGAGGCTATATAAGCTTGAGACGATAAGAGAATAATGAGTTATTTTGTTGGTACGTCTCTCGAAAGAGAAGATGATGATGAAGAAGAAGAAGAAGAAGAAGAAAGAAGAGAACAAGGAAACGAGAAGGGAGAGAACGGGAAAGAATTTCGTTATATATATTGCGGAGGCTAACGTAAACCTCAGTGATTCTCAACTTACGGCTACCTAAATAATTATATTTTTTTATATTTAACCTTAAAAATTATCTAGTATTTTTTTTTTTTAAATAAAAAAACAGCCTATATACTTTTATATAATTAATATAATATTTTATAATTAAATATAATTAAATATATATATATATATATATATATATATATCGCAATGTGAATCAATTAAAGTGTTTCTAATATCAAATTGTCGATTTATCGAAATATTTTATTTTCATATCGATATAGATAAGATATTGATAAATTCAGTATTTTTCTTATCTCAACGATACCAAATATTTCATTCCATTAAAATGAAATAGTAAAAAAAAAAGAATAAAAGGAAAATGTTTAAAAATAAACTTATTGGTCAACCACAAGATAAAGAAAATAAAAAAAAAGTAGAAAGAGAGTCCATTGGCGTAGCTTGGGCCGCCATTTTCGCACGAAGTATAAGAGTGTACTCTTCTTAGTGTCTTACTTGCGCATACATCTCTACGAAGATGACCAGTGATGACCGAGGAGGGTCTTCTTCAAGACTTTTATGTCTCTTGATTAAACCTCATGAAACTGCAATGAATGTCTTTTGAAGATTCTTTTCTTTTCATTCTTTATTCTTTTTTGTTTTGTTTTTTTTCAGTTCCATCTTGTTTTTCTTTCTTACGTTTTATTCACAAGGAACCACTACCCCACCATCATCATCATTATCATCAACAACATTGTGTGAATAATATTGCTGAGAACATTATTACTTATATTAGTAATTGTTAGTGTACTATGTTATGAAAACAGTGCTACCAATATTAAAATATTATCACTAATATATATATATATATATATATATATATATATATACTTACCAATATATATATTTAAAACATGTGTGACTAATATTACTGATAACAAACACTATTACCAATATTACTAATTCTTATTATACCATGTCAGTAAAACAATAAAACAGTACTACCAATATTATTATTCATATTGTTACTATTACTACATCAATATTGCACTATACCAATATATATTTAAAATACTATTACCAGTGTATATTTAAAACACTATTATCAATATATACTACTTAAAACACTATTACCAATATATATTTAAAACACTATAACCAATATATATTAAGAAAGTACCTATCAATATTATTATTCATACTATTACTATTTACTACATCAATACTGCACTATAATACCCAATATAATATTTAAAATACTATATATTACCAATTATATATTAAGATACTACTACAAATATTATTATTCATACTATTACTATTACTATTACTACA